GGCCTTTTTTATTGCAGGTGCACACTGTCTCGACATTTTCATTGACTTATCTACTACAAGATCTCTCTCTTGGTCAGTCTCTGCCAGTTCAGACCCCATCAATGTGTATTTATAGTTAGGATTTTTGGCTCCAATGTGCATCACTTTGCACTTGGCCATATTGAACCCCATTTGCAATCCAGACAATCCAACACAACAAAGATTCTCTTAAGAAGCCTAGAGTTTTGGTAGACCCCCACCCTTATTACAGAAGCATGTGACCACGGTCGCTAAGAATGCATTCTTCCAGCTGCATCTAGTCCTAAAGCTTTCACCCTATTGAGAGACTACTGGTCTGGCCACACTGATCCATGCTACAGTTACCTCAAGGCTCAGGTACTGTAATGTACTCTATGAACGCTGTCATTGAAGATGACTCCAAAACTACAATTGGTGCAGAATGAGGCAGCCTGTTTTTTGTTTTGTTTTGTTTTTATGAGGGGCTAGCTGTAGAAGCATACAGCACCTTTTTTATAATCCCTTCACTGATTGCCAATTTATTTCTGGGTCTAATTCAAAATCGCTGGTCCTTGTCTAGGCCCTTCATAGTCTGAGGCCTCATACTTGAAGGACAGTTTCTCTGTCTCTATCCCTCTCAGTAGAGAAGGCCCCAGAGTGCTTGCCTGGATAGTAAGACAGTTGCCATCAAGGGCAGAATTGCCACCACCTGCTCTACCCCGCTCCTCCCTATGCATTAGTTTCTTGATGGTCTGCTGTTAACTTGGGTTTATATGTTTTTGGATTTCTGTTGTATGTGGGTGGGAGGTACTTTAAAAAAAAATTATGTACAACAAAATAAAATAAACTATCAAGAAGTAATATCCTGTTTCATATGCTTCTATTATTTCTATTATACTTTAAAAATTAAAAATTGAAACTAATCTATATAGATCTGGCATTTCAAAAAAATTCACCATGTTGCTCTAAATAGTTCAATATAGGGTACCAAATAGACTCAAAATCTGATTTATACTCCTCTACAGATTTAAAATTCAATTGTTCAGTTATCTTTGCCATTATGTAATGTTCCCATAATTTCCTATGACACAAAGAGAGCAGAGGAACTATCGAACTTTTCCAGCAATGGGCTATGGTCATTTTGGCTATTTTCAGTAGTATTGGGATTGTTACCGTTCATTGATATGGGCAAATTTTGTCTATCTTATAACTTAAAAATAAAGGTTCAAGTGTCAGCTCAAGAGTATGACCTGTAATTAGAGCTATTTTTTGTATAATTATATTCCAATTTTTTAAAATTATACCACACTCCATCCAGCAGTGAATGTAAGAACCTATACATCCACATTGCTTCCAACAATATGGGCTGATATCAGTATTTAGATAAGAAAGTTTTTTAGGTATATAATACCATCTAGTAAGAATCTTAAAGGTCTGAAGTTTTATTGATAAAACTGATGATTTATAATCTATAGATGCCCATATTTCCCCCAGATGTCTTCATTCAAAGTAATTTTACAAACTTTCTGTCATTTCTTCTGGTATGATAACCTGCCTGTTGGCTCAATATTATTTATCATTTTATACAATTTAGAAACTAAGCCTTTTTATTGGACTCAGAGGAATTAATCAATCTCTCAGTCTATTAAAAGATGTCTTAATACATTAGACAATCCAATGCAAGAACTTAAATGAGAGATTTGGTAATATGCATACCAAGTAAGTGATCTACCAGTTTTTTCTTCCAGGGATTGTTTGTCTAACACTCTGTTCTGCTTTGTTAGATCCATAAGTCTAGTGATTTTAAGTGATTTCCAAAAATTAGCATCTGCATTTTGTTGGCCTGGAAGAAACCATACCTGATCTAAATGTGATGAAAACATGAAAACTCTGGAGTTAACTGCAATCTGTACTTATCCCAAACATTTAAAGCTGCCACAATGAATTGATTTGGTAATATTGTAAGCCACTTTGGGTCCACAATTGAGTAGTGAAAAGCCGGTTAAAAGTACCTCTCACCACATATGTGTTATTACTTCTTTTCTTTGCCTGTTTTTCATGATGATACATGCATTTTTGCTGGGCTATTTTTGTAGCAGGAACTCCTTTGCATATTAGGCGACACACCCCTAATGTAGCCAATCCTTCAAGAGCTTACAGAGCTCTTCTTACAGGGGCTACTGTAAGCTCTTGGAGGATTGGCTACATTAGGGGTGTGTCGCCTAATATGCAAAGGAGTTCCTGCTACAAAAGACCCCTACATTTTTGCATTATATTTAATAAATTTTATACGTAAAAAGGTACCCAAATAAATAGACATTGATGGAATTTTGCAAGGACTGCCAGAGAGGCAGATAAATAAATAAAACAGAGTTCTTTGGAAGAACAGCTGTCTGTACACTGTGAGCATTAGTTTAGGCCCTGCTAATTGGCCACTGTTAGCTTATTTTGCTGGGTACTTTGATGATAGCTATTTCATTATTGTTATTTCTCTAGTTATTCTGTGGATTGTGTTTATATCCCGGATCTTGACTTGGATCCTACTTGTCTGGGGGAAAGGCAGGCATATACATATTTTAAATTAATTACAAAGGTGTCATTCCTTGCTCTTTTTAAGATATTTGAATTATTAATTAAGTAAGGCTAGTTCATGAATGGGATTATAGTGTCAATACAAATTCTATGCAACAGATTTTTTAAAAAAGCATGTTTACTAACATATGCTTCTTTGAAGTTTTTATTGCCGATACTTATGATTCTGTCTCACGCAATGTTGCTAAATATTGTTATTTGGTAATTAAAAAGCGTAGAATGTACTGTAACTCGAGCCATTAATGACGGAATTGACTGGTTTCGTATTTTAGTATTTAAGGCTGCAAGGATTCTATGTCGTAGACTCGGTGTTGTACTATTTTGGTTTATTTTGCTGGTCTTATGACTGTTCTTAATAAATTTGATTTGATTTGAACATATGCTTCTAAAATTATTTTTTCCTTCTCTTAGATGGTCCATACTAATCAGTTCTTTCATTGCTGCAAAGTCTGTTTCTATCTGACTACTACATAACCTTTGACAGTGAAAGATATGTGAAAGAGCCACAGAAATCCCCACCCCACCCCAACAAAAAAGATGCTGTTAGCTTTGATACAAAGTGCTGGGTTACAACATTCTTACTACATTCATCCATGGATGCAGGCTAAGCAAAGTCACTGTGTCAGGCTATTCACCCACTACACAGGCTGCACAGCCCAGTTGCTTGATACAAACATCCACTTGGTCTGGTGCCAAATAGCTGATGTCAAAAGATACCAATGAACAACAGAGAACAGAATCATCATTGCCTCCACAAATACAACCACTAACCACCTGAACCTCTCCATTCTCCATAGCCCTGCCATAAAAACTGAGATTTACAATATTTTTTTCTAGTACTGCCATTTCTGCCTGTTAGCGAGAAGCCTTCTGGAAGCAGCTAAGCATAGGATCATTTTTACTGTGTACAGTCCCACCCCTGCAACTAGCAATGACAAACTCTTCTCAGCTTGATCCAAGCATTACAATCTGGACAAATCTGAATGCCTGGCCAGGTAATTATGAATTTTGGCAATGTTAGTACCTGCACCTGCAACTCCTAAGGTGGCTGTGCACATATTATAATAATATTTAGCATTTAACCTGCATTTTTATTACATGATCAAAGCACTTCAAATATCTTAGCTAATAATCCCAACATCAGTATTCATTTATTTATTTATTTATTTAATTATTTATTAAAATGTTTACTAGCCACCTTTCTTCCTTACAGAGCTCACAGTGGCTCACAAACATAGATAAAACACATACAATAAAACACAATGAAAATAATTAGCCTTTCCTCATACCCATCCAACACACGAGAGTTCTCAAGTCTCTGGTATGCCTCTCTGCTAACCCAGGGATCTTCTGTCTTAGTAGGATTGAGCTTTAGCTTGTTCACCATCATCCAGCACATTACTGAGTCCAAGCACTAGTTCAAACATCAACAGCACCCAGTGCCACCCCAACCCCCCCCAATAGAACTCCAACCACGATAACACAGAGCCCCCTAGTCCCAGTGCTGAGAGGCAATTCAATAGGATACTAGGATCAATAGTACTGCCAAGATGGATAGCCCAGGCAAGCCCAGTCTCATCAAATCTTGGAAGCTAAGCAGGGCCGACTCTGGCATGTATTTGGATGGGAAACCGCCAAAGAATACCAGGGCTGGGAGATAGATAGGCTATTAAGCCACTTCTCTGAACACATCCTCCATGCCCCAGTAAGAGTCGCCATGACTTCCAGGCACAAGCACACGCACGTACACACACAAAAGCAAAAATACAAAAAAAATGTACTACTGAGAGAACCAGCAGAACTAGCAGGGTCACATTCCCCTGTCTAGTTCTCGGTATAAGCTACCAACCAAGGTGCCCAAAGGAGACGCTATTCCAAATTCTGGCCTGAGGCCAGATCAAAATGGGTCCAGAAAATCAGTATCTTCCAAGAGCCCCTAGAGCTGAGAAGCAACTACCCACCCAAGCACCTGCCCAATATTGAAAAATTGGAGATTATCTGGAAGCTTTCTAACATAATAGGGCTTAGAGAGAGTTTCCCCCCAAGCAGATCTAATCACTGCTTCCTTGAGCATGGATGGTACAAATGTCGCCCTCAAGGAAGCATTAACCACTTCCAGGCACCCACTCAGCCAGTCCCCCTCTGGCAGTTTTTATCAGCCAGGAAGGGCAAGGGTCAAGAACAGGGGTGGCCAAACTTGCTTAACATAAGAGCCACATAGAATAAATATCTGATGTTTGAGAGCCACAAGACATTAACAAATATTGCAAGTTTTTACTGGAAAATATGCAAATTTGCTTTTTATTAACATTAAATGAGACTGCCAAAAATAATATGAAAAGTGGTAAAAGGGAGAATTTTTCTGCTCTCTTCGGTGAGGCGGAACCACCTCAGTCCACTGCAGCAAAGCGTCTGCCGTCGGCCCACTTTACCTCATGCGCGAGTTACCAAGCACCACTGAATTAACAGGGAGCACCAACCTCATCACCTACTATAACCTGGAGCATGCTTACAAGACGTTTTGTGGCAAAAAGGTGAAGGAGAAGCTCAGTAACTTCCTGCCTGATCTGCCAGGGATGATAGATCTGCCAGGTTCTCATGACAACAGCAGCCTACGCTCTCTCATTGAGAAGCCTTCCATCTGTGGGAGCTCATTCAACCCCATAACTGGTACAATGCTGACAGGTGTTGAGAAAGAGACTAATATTTGCTGTTTATGGATCTATATCTGCTGACACACACAAACTTCACATGAACTGTGCATATATCCCCATAGGCTTCAGGGAAAGCTGCTTGAATCACCTGTTGTGAGAGGTTTCACATAGAAGGTTTCTAATTGCTTTTTATGTTAATGAAACTAGCAAAACACATACAGCTCCTAGCCTTAGGGAAAAGGGAAGCACATTTCGCCATTGTTAGCAGAAATCACAGCTTAAAGACAAGCAATCCCCTATTACTGAAGGACTGGATGTCACGCAATACACGGATCCAATCTACATCTGAATTGCCATTTCCTGACAGATGTTGCTTTGATGGCCTGAGAAATCCGGTATCTATCTGCACTTCAAGGAGATGTCTTGACGCTGAGATTTCACACCTGACCAGATGGCTTGTCCTGAGTTAGATCTAGTATTTCAATATTGACCCAACCCTTAAAGGTTCTGCCCCTTACTACACGCACCAATAAGATGTAGGGATGGGACGGACTTACAGGTGGGTGGACCACAGCATGGCAAGGTTGCCAACCACCCCAAATATTCACCTATATAAGCTAGGGACCATGTGCAGGGTCCTTTGCTAGCCGCATTCCCCTTCATCATCCTCTGTCTACTTTTATCCCCTAAAGTCCAGCTTACTATCAAACAACCCCATTGTCTATTCTTGATCTCTTGGACTGCAGCCAAAGTGGTCCACACTTTGCTGGCTGGTTCTGGCAAGTGTGAATTAGAAATATTTTCTTTACCCCTCAATTCTTCAGTGCATCAGACAAGGCTTCAGGAAAGATAAGTATAAACCGATACCTACCTACCTCCTAAGTAAAAGGGAACTATTTTTCTATTGCTGTAATCCTAAGGTAACTTGATTGTATGTGTGCGTGATTCTGTTATTGTGTGTATGAGATTTTGATACTCTTTAGTAAAAAGACAAATTGTTTGAAATCCACCAGTTTTGTCTCTCTCTCTGGGACATTCTTGGGGTGAACAGAACCTCCGTAAACTTTGGTGGGAACCCTTATTAAATTTAGTTTGCCATCTGTTGTAGATAAAGCAGATTGGCTAACACAGGCTTTCATCTACATGCAGGCCCACTGCCAGAGCAGTGTCGTCTAATGCACAGCCAACCACCTAAGAAAAAAAAACAAGCACAAACATAAGCAAAGCCATACCCAGGATCCTGTCCCTTCAGAAACACCTTCCGATTCTGATCACAAGAAAAAGAAGAAGAAAAAAGAGGATGATCCTGAGCGAAAAAGAAAAAACAAGGAGAAAAAGGGGAAAAAAGAACCGGCATAGCCCTGAGCACCCAGGTGTGGGCAGCTCTCTAGCCAGCAGCAGTAGCAGTCTCCGGTAAAGTCCTGCCAGAAAGTAGGATGGGGAGAGTGCTCCAGGAAGGTACCGCAAGCTTGCTGAGAAAAGGACAAGTAATGATGGTGGAGCAACTGCTGATTCATATACTTTCCCTTCACCTTGTGGAACAACATGTAAAGGACAACTACTGGGTGGAACTTCTAGGACTCCACTGGTCTCTGTCTAGGGAACACACAGACTGCTTGGGACATGATGTAGACTGGTGTCTTTTGTCAGAGAGCCTTGCCCATTGTTTCAGGGTTTGGGGGTCATGTGGTACAAAATGTTCCTGACTAAGTTGGGATGCCTCTGTGTCAGATTTTAATTAATGATTTGATGGTAATGATTTGAAGGAATTTAAAGTGGTAAAAGCAAATACTGATAAGGATATTTATTTGTCCAATGATATTTGTTTGCTAATGATATTCAGCTTCCCCAGCCACCCTGCTGGGAGCCACACAATATGTGTGAAAGAGTCGCATGCGGCTCCTGAGCCACTGTTTGGCCACCCCTGGTCAAGAACATAGGTAGTAGGTCTCACTTCTCCAAAAATCTTGTCCACATCCTCAGGCTCCACAAGCTCAAAGACATCCATAGAAATCAGATAAGCAGGTGCCAAAGATACATCACCTGAACATGCATCTATACAAGCATCTCACCCAGAGTGAATCTGGGTGATTTTGTCTGCAAAGTAAGTAGTAAATTGATCACAGCGGGCTGTCATGTGGTCCAAATCTGGTTCTCTGGGGCTATGATGCAAAAGCCCTTGGACCGCACAAAACAGCTTAGCCAGATGATTACATGCAGATGTAATTGTGACACAGAACTGTTGCCTTTCTGCCACCACCACTGCCACAGAACAGGCTCTACTATGGGCTCTATACTATGTTCGATCAGTCTTGCTCCGACTCTTCTGCCAGCAGTGCTCTCGCCTTCTTCCCTCCCATTTCATTATCATCAGTTCCCTGGTAAACCAAGGGGGACTGCTTGGCTCTGTCTGGGGGGAGACGGTGCTTAGGGGCAATTGTGCCAACAGCCTGGGCTTCCGGAGAGCAGTCAGGGCCTCAACAGAATTGTCAGCAGCTGAGGTGGGGGAAAACCCAAGTGCCAATAGGAAACCATCAGGATTTCTCAGATGCCTGTGGCAGGCCATCTTAATGGGTCTACTACACTTGCAGAGGAAGCACTAAATCTAAACTCTTATCAAGTAATGATCTGTCCCTACCTCCCCATCAGAATAATAGATCAGATTCAGTGTGTGTCTTCTGTGCTGTGGGCGGAGCTAGTTATTACTTGGGACAGGCTCATGGTCGTCATGGAGGCCATGAAGTCTGGAGCCACTTCTGACAGCTTAGCCTCAGCATTTATTTTAAGTCACACAGAACCACCAGTCTCAGGGCTCTACGAGCGCACCTGAGACCAGCTCAGCTAGTTCAGCTAGGCAGCCAAATGGACAGTACACCAGCAGAATCCTTACCCTGTGACCTGGTCACCCACCTTCAGGAACACAAGTCAAAACCATCAGACCACTGGCAGTGGCACCTTGATAGATGTATGGAATCTCAATAGACCACCATGATGCCATCTCCCCGTCCCCCTGGCCTAGGCTGCTGCTGTACAGAGAAATCTGGAGGACACCGCTGGGTCAGATTTACACACAGATTTTATATCTTCCTGTTATTGACAAGGGTGGCAGAGATAAAGTGACTCACCTAATGTTGATGTGTAATCCCCATTGACTCTCAGTGAGAAAGGCAGAATATATTAATGTAACTAAATTAAATAAATAAATGGCTGAGTTGAGCCAACCTGAGAACCAGGAACTTCCTGTTCAGAGGTGACGCTTACAATAAAAAAATGCTACACGTTTTTCAGAATAGACAAAATTTTAAAAGAAAGACCCAATCAAGACTCCTATGAAAAGTAATTCTCACAAATTAGTTAGCTTGTGAACTTTGTAAAACCCACCAACCCTATTTTCAACAGTGATTTACAATCTATGTAAAATGCACAGAAATCAGAAATGAAATCCCATAAAATCTAGTGGAGTTTGGCAATAGCGTTGCCAGTTATATATTGTCAACTGACTCCCATTATTTAACCAAGGCCAAATACTGTTGAATACTTTGAAAAGCTAAGAACGCCCCTGCATAGGAGCCAGCCATTTTTATTTCATTATGGTGTCATTTAGGAGGACTGAAGGCTGCCTGTCCCCTCGCCCTGCAGCAATAAAGGCAGATCTAGTAATACGATGAAGCTTCTCCTAATAAAACAGCAGGCATGTCCAGACTGGAACACAAGAAGCCAAGACAGCTTGCTGAAAGAACCAGGGAGTAACCCCTTCATGTTAGCAGAAATAAAGCAAAGTTTTTTTAATGCTCATAATTTTATGCTGTTCCTGCTTTTCCAGGATAAAAGCCAAAAGAACAGAAACTGTTAACTTCAACAGGTGTCTTGTGGCACCTTCAGGATGAGCAGATTAAAACCAGTACCTCTCCATAATTGTTCACATTTAGAGAATTATTAATTACAGCATATCCATAGATATGCGCTCCCCAGGGCTCTGCGCTGGGCCTGGTGCTGGTGGTTGCACAACCCTGGAGCTAGGGCTGCAACTGCCCCCCCCGCCCAGTCCAGGAGGGGACTCCTCTGCTTTTGCGGGCTCCTCCCTGCTGCCAGTCAGCTGACTGGCAGGAGGAAACCCGCCCTCAAATGCCCCAGAACACAATGTAATGACATCACCCAGAAGTGACGTCATCACACCGCCGACACTCTAGTTTTGGGGCAAAACTGTACGGTAAATTTGAGCTCAAACCATAGCCATAGAGTTTTGCCCAAAAACTAGAGCATCACTGTGCAACGTTGGGGGCGTGATGATGTCAGTTCCCGGTGATGTCATCGTGCCACACGTGCAGAAGATCCCAGAAAGGCCTGAAGATCCCCCCACCAAGAAGAAGGTAGGACCTGACAACCCTACCTGGAGCTGCACTGGACCCAGCAATAGCAGCACAGCCCAGGGAGAGCATGGGGGCCAGGCCTGGTGGTGGCTGCCACAAAGCCCAGGAGCTGTGCCAGGCCCAGTTGCAGCAGCAGTGCGGCCTGGGGCTCTGTGCTGGGCCCAGCAGCGGCAGCACAGTATAGGGAGAGCACAGGGACCACGCTGGGCCTGACGGCAGCTGCCAAACAGCCCTGGGCTCCACGCTGGGCCCAACAGCTTCCAGAGAGCCCAGAGGCTGTGCTGGGCTCAGCAGGAGAGGCAAAGAATAAGTAACTGATAAAGGCACTTATGGCTACAGTGAAAACGTGGGCATCTAACAGCCAAGGCAGATCCAGATTTTTTTAAAAAAAAAAACTGTGCCAAGATACCCCAAATTCTATACTTCAAAAAAATATATGAAATTGTGATCTGCATATTCTGTACAATTTATGCCGCTACTGCCAACCAGAGGGTGGTGATAAAAGCTATACAAGGCACTGAAGCCCCACAGTGGAAATCTGGCTTACAAAATTTATTTAAAATATTTATCTCCTGCCCCCATTAGCATCTGAGCCCTTCTCTGCTCTCCCACAACACATTTTTTGCAGAGGTTTCAAGACAGTCTTTGCAACAAAGGCTAGAAATTTTTTAAATTGATGAGATCTGCACAGTACTGAATTTCTCTACTGTATTATTATGGGGTACACACAGCCCTGGACTTATGTGGAAGCAGAGTGCATGAACATGCAGGTAAAAAGGGGTGCCCTTTCTTGCTGTTTGCGACTGTGCAAGCTTTACATTTTACAGACAATCTTCCAGAAGAAAGCCAACACCAGAATGAAAATGGCCTCCTTATTTTTGTGATTATTTACGAACTGTAGTCACATGATTATGTTCCTCAATACATGAAATACATGACATCATGCATCTGAAGTAGTGAGCTCTGGCTCACAGAAGCTCATGCTGAAATAAAGTAGACTTCTGTTTTGTTTTCTGTTTTGTTTTATGCAGTTACCTTATGGGCAGGTTTCATATTTTTACAAATTATTTATGTATTTTTAAAGTTTCTGTCATAACTAGAGAGAGCCCTTATCAAGTGAACTCCAGAAGTTTTTTTAAAAAAAGCTTTTCAGGCTTGCAGCATAGCACAATCCAAGCTTGCTAAGCAAACTGATCTATTTAAAGTTCTTCCAATGGAAGAGTTAAATAAAGTTAATTTTGCTCCGCAGAACACCCTGGAACAGGGATGGCCAAACTGTGGCTTGGGAGCCACACACAGCTCTTTCACACATATTGTGTGGCTCCCGGCAGGGCGGCTGGGGAAATGAAGAAGAGGCATGTTTTTCCTTCCCTCCCTCCATCCCTCCCATCTATTTGCTTTGATCCTCCCCCCCCCCCACCCCTCCCATCTCTTTTCTTTGTTTCTCTCTCTCTCTCTCTCTCTCTCTCTCTCTCTCTCTCTCTCTCTCTCTCTCTCTCTCTCTTAAACAAATAAATATCACTGGACAAATAAATATCATTATCAATATCTGTTTTTACCCCTTTTGTTTTTATTTCTGGCAGTCTCATTTAATGTTAATAAAAAGCAAATTTACACATTTTAAATAAAAACATGTAATATTTGTGGCTCTCAAACATCTGTTTATTCTATGTGGTTCTTACGCTGAGCAAGTTTGGCCACCCCTGCCCTGGAATGTCTATCAGCAACATTAGAGCCAATGAAAAACAGCTGAACCAATGGCCGATTTAGAAAGGGTACATGAAGCACAGAAGCCAGTGATCTCAGAACCCACAGGTGTCAGCTCTTTAAGTGCACAAAGTACTTGTGGATCATTTCATTCTCTCCCTAGAATCAAAAATCTGAAGCAGGCTTTTGCAATAGAGGGGATGCTTGTGCTTCTGACAGGTAGAGGAACCCTTGAGCCACCATCAATGCCAGACAACTTCTAAGCATATGTTTAAAAGCTGCCCCAGGCACCTCAATGTCAGAAAGGGGAATTCATGTTATGAAAGCTCGCTGCTTTCTGTGATACA